AGGTTATAATGATTTTCATTCAGTCTGGACTTTAAGCTGACTCTAGCCACATGCATCACAGGTAGGTTCTAGTAAAGCATTGATTAATGCCTGGTTTTAAAATTAGTTAGCTGGACTTGTAGCCATTATTTTGTGCCCATGTGGCTGGACACCACACGGCACGACGAACCCGATTGAACTGTTATACCTAGGATTTCTGTCAGGTTTTGAAAATGGGCCGACAGTCCGCCAACAACTCGTGTAGTGTGCGCTGGACATTACACTAAGGAAGAGCACCGGAGTTGAGCCTTTTTTCATTCAGTGACATCAACAGAAAGAAAAAAAGACAGGAAGAGATGATAAAGCCGATAATTAAAATGAGGTCGATAGGTTTAATTTATCGTGCGATTAATTGATTTATCGTTTATCGTGACAGGCCAAACTGTGCGCATTTCAGCTACCATTCCAAACGATGCTGTTTATGCAAAGTGTATTCACTGACTCAGTCTTGCTCCTCTTGTAGCAACTAGAAATAAATGTACTACTGTTTGCAAAACTATTCAAACTTGCTCTTTTGTGCAGCTTTAATTGACTGACGAGATATACAGAAGTGTGTGTCCCAGAAGTTAAAGTCTAAAACAGAAAAATCTGCATTTGGAAAACAGTTTCTGTAATGCTGTTTTTAATCACTTTGCCAACACAAATCAGCAATTGAAAACGATTTTCAATAAATCTTACAATGAATTCACTCCACAGCATAGGTTAAGTTACTCCAAAGTAAGGTGTCTTTATAAGGAATTTGTCATGAACTTCATAGTTAAAAAAAAAACAGAAGCTCTCGTTACAAATATACAACTTGATGATTTTCAGTCTAAACTGCAGATTTGTTTTTTTTTTTTTAATTAATTCAAACTCTGGGGAAATGTTTAACATTCCTGTTTGGTAAATAAATAAATAAATAAATAAATAAATAAATAAATGAAGGTGGACATGTTCCAAAAGAGTGTTGTGCACAGAGAAACGCATCAGCAGCACCTGCCTTGTTTCTCTCATCTGTTAACGATCTAGGCTGAATCTTTTAATTCGTCCGTCAGAACATGTCCTCTTCATGTTCCTGTTTTTGTTCTCTTCAACCTTTATACTTCATCCGCTTCATGCCGTCAGCAAAGCAACAAAAGTGTTGATTAGAGCAGCATGTTTCGCTTTGAAAGCACTTTTATTGTTGTACGGGCAATAGTTGATGCTGTGAATATCACTGGTGCGAAGTCAGAGCCAACCCCTTAAGTTCAAGTCCCGCCTCTGGTCTGAGTCTACCTGCTTGCTGCAGAAAGTTTAATACAATTGCATGTGTCTCTGTTTCTGCGTCTCTCGTGGTGTGCGTTTGTTGCTCAACTGTTGGTGGCACGTGTCTGAAAATGGATTCGTGCCAAGCAGCTCTAATGGCTGATAAAACTCCCACGTAATTTTCTGACGGGAAATTTCAGATTTAAACAAATTACTCATCATTTTTAGTTATAGTTTTTAATCTTATCATCATCCCATGAAAATGATTATTTCAGAATTCACAATGCTGATTTGTGTGCAGGAATTACTGCATTAATTTGTGTGATGAGGCCTTCAGAAGCGAGGCCCAGTTTGACACACAGAGTGCAAACATTTCCTGCATTTTTCTCTGTAACTAAACTCCCTTTGGCTGTTTGTCCACAGACATCTGCTATTTGATTTGAAAATTGCTGAAGAGACATTAAAGAAATATTCAAAACTTGTCAGTGAGTGCGTGTTCGCGTGTGTGTGCGCATGGGTGCGTGTGTGTGCAGATGACATATGACCTAATCTGGGACATGCAAACATGCACAAATAGTTATTCTATTTATTAGATGTGAAGTTTCAGGTGAAAATCTGTGAAAACCTTTTGCAAAAAATGAAGTTGTGAATAAATGACCTTCATACACACAAACATAAACAGATGCACTTATCAGCTATTGTGATCTGTTTAGAAATTATGACTGTCAGCATTTAATCACATCACTTAACCCAAAATACATGATGGTCTAATTAATATTAGTCAGGAATTTTCTGCTTTGGTTGTACACATGAAGCACCAATCACGAGTCTAGCCACGCCTTTCCATGCATCTTTAGAAATAAGGTGAGTCCAGATCTTGGTCTTGTGCTGACACCACCAGGAACAGAAAGCAAAAGGACTGAGGCTGTTGTGCTTCCTGTATGCATTACTTTAGTAGGTGAGGAATTAAAACAATCAAAGAACAGATTAGCCTGATTTGAACTAATGATCTAGTAGTTTGAGACAATCTTGCATTGATGGATTCACTTCAAAATAAATACTACAATTGTAAAGCAAGCATAGTAACAACATTTTAATTAAATCTGTCAAAAAATAATTAATTAAAAGTGCTTAAAACTTTCAAGTCGATCAAACGTAATCACCGGACGTTCGGCGGACATTCAAGACAACGTTTAGCGGACGTGCTCCAAACATTCAATGCTAGCTGGGACAGAATCATACATCAAAGTATCTAAATTCGTAGCTTTAAAATTTTGTAAGAGTTAAAAAAACAGCATCACATTTATTCATTTTCTACATGTAGAAACAATGCTATGATTTGTTAAGTGAAATTTCAATTCATATGGATGAGCTTGCCAAACTAGGCCATACTAAAATTATGATTCCTCTAGAAACTGTACAGTGTGATTTAAATTAAATGATTTATATTATCTAAAAATCTGTTTTAGCTCATTTTAAACATGATTAGAAGCTGCATTCCGTGCCTAAAAAAACAAAAAAAAAACATGCCCAAAAACATAGCTGCTGCTGTAAATGCGATATTCAGATTTCACAACTAACTGAGATATTGGCGCACACAAGGTTTAGAGCCGGTTCTGCAAACCCCTAATTATACAAAACAAAAAAATGTGTCACCTGCAAACACAGCATGCCAAAATCTATTTAGAGCACTCCTAACAGTAAAGACTAGAAAATCCAGTGGATTAATTTTAGTTTTCATAGCAATGTCACACAACAATAGGAAAATCCCTGTAGGCCTGCTGTTCGCATGGTTACAGCTGATGTGACTTGCATTAAAATCTCACCCACTCCCACTCTATTTCCAGACACAGTAGGTTTTAACTTTGAGAAAAGAAAATATCTTTTGAAGAAAACAAGTTAACCAAGGAAGACTTGAGCACATTTTTCCATTTACTGCTTTATAGTAATATAAAATCCAAAGTAGAAAAGTAGAGTTAATGATAGTTGTAAAAAAAAAAAGTAAACAAAAAAGAAATGTTATGAAACAAATGATTTTTTTAAACTCTAGACCTTGCCACACATACTGAAGTCTGACACTGAATAGAGCGCATAGAGAAAGTGTACCTGCTAAAATGGGTGTGGGCAGGAGAATCTAGAGAAATCTAAAGGTCATGGTACAAGTAATCATCTGTGGTATTTCAGGTCACACTTGAAGAATGTCTTCTTGGAACCTATCAGAAGCTGTATATGACTGCAAATATGACAACATTTCTGTTTGTAACTAGAGCATTTAATTAAAAAAAATATTTGAAATGTACGTCTGGCTCTTCTTTAGGTACATGATAAGTCTACTAAGCACCTCCACAGATCTTTAAAAATATGCCTCTTTTTCACTTACACACATTCTGGGTTTATTGAGAAATGTGCCAACAAAGGCAAGCCTCTCCAGCTCTTAACAATGGGTCAATCAATTAATGGGAGGTCCCAGGTTAAAATCACTACTGACCAAAAACAATATTTCCCAAACAAAATCACAATAATTTTTATTGGAGAAATATTGATTGACAATGATTGGGGAAATATTTTTAACAAAACAAAAGTGGAACCTTTTGGAAGGTGTACATTTTGCATAAGTCTGACACAGCATTTCAGAAAAACTACATAAAACTCATCAGACATCTCTTGGATAAAACTGTTTCCAAAGCAACCAGAGGATGAATGCCGAGTTGCAGCCTACTTGCTGTTTTGGCTAAACCATCTGTCCACCCATTGTCTTACATCCTTCAAAGTTCATGGGGGGTCTGGTGTTTATCTCCAGAGGTCATTAAGGCGGGAGGTGGGGCACGCACAGGTCACCAGACCATCCCAGACCAACACAGAGACGAAGAGGACAAACAACTGAGCATTCACAAACTCAAAGCTGAGAGCAAATTGAGAAAGACCAATTAATGTCACGTTCAAGTATTTGGAGTGTAGGAGGAAGGTGGAGTATCCAAAGCAAACCCACACATGACTGGGGAGAGAACATGCAAACCACATGCAGGAAAGGCTGGGTTTCCAAAGCAGGACCTTCCTGCTGGACTTCAACAGTGACTGTGATGCATAAGAATCAAGATTTTCTACAAGAGAAACAGCTTTGCAGAGAAATGTAGAAATTAACATGAAAATCCTAAACTCAGTTTGCTTACAATGATCTAATCAGTAAACTTATTTTCTACATTGTTTCCTACAAATATTGATAAATGAATGAAAACTAGTTCATATTAGGACCGTGAACCCATATCACAATGCTTAACAGCCAAGCAATGAACCCAAATTAATTTAGTTTTAACAATGGGAACTGAACTTACATCTGGTTCTTGATAAAAGTAAACTGACATAACACTGATTGTTTAAAATTTGTAGTTCAACAACTGACTGGTTGCCATTACTATATGTGAAGCTGTAATACCGATAAACACTGAAGACATCTCATGAATGGCTTAATGTTTTGTGAAAGCGGCCAACTGATTCATAGAGCAAGAAGCACCAATGGTACATATTTTCCTTACCTTTAAACTAAATCAAGGAAAAAAAAACATCCATGGATAAAATGAAACCAGGTGTTTTTAGAATCTTTTTCATATACTAAGTTAGACATTACCAATTTCTTTGTCTATGTGTTTTATCATCAAAATATGGTGACTGTCCTTTTGAAGTTGGGCATAGGTTAACATAAAACATAGTATAAGTAAGGAAATGTTAACAAAACTCACCTCTGTCTGAGCTCATGAAGGTTTTTCTTCAGGTTCTTTGAAATTTCTTTGGCCTTCTGAAGGTCAGTCCTCAGAACAGTTTCTCTCTCCTCAGCACTCTTCTTCAGTTCTTCCCTCTGCTTTCTTAGTTTCTCCACCATCAAGTCTCCAAGCTCCCTTCTCAGCTGTCTTTCTTTCTCTTCAATGATTTTTTGATGGTCCGCTTTCATCTTATTCCTCGTTCTATCAGATTTTGCTTCAAACTCATCTTTTAGCGTTTTCGTCATGTCCCTGTACCTTTTCTCCAGCTCGTCTCTGGTGGTTTTCTCCCTGACATCAACTTGTGCCTGAAGCTCCCTCTCCTGCTCCAGCCTGTTCAGCTCCCAAGCCTCCAGTTGGGCCTTTTCCCTCTGGGCAGTCTCCTTCCATTCCTGGAGCTCAGCCTCTAACTGAGCCAACCGACTCTGGAGCTGACGATTCTCATATAAAGTCAGGTAGCTTACACCACAGTAATCGCACTTGGTCTCGTTGCGCTCCATCTGAGGAAAAAAAATGCAACTTGTTGGATAACGACTTTAAGTTCCCATTTTCTACAGTAATACACATAGCTTATATCTGGTGTGACTGAAAGACAGCTAACTTACTAAGGCCACACATATGCCTCTGAGCAATTAGTTTTGAACCGACATCGAAAACACACTGAGGTCCAAACAAATTGTGATGGAGAATTGAAAGCTGAAAAGATGTCTATTTTGGGATACCAACTGGTGCAGAAATGCCTTTGAAAGATGGTTGTAGTTGATAAAACATCTTTGTTCAGGGTACATATGGACAGGAATAGTTTGTGGTCCTTATTGAGGCTTCCATCTGCACTAGCTCATCAAAATTGGACAGATTTCCAATGACAGATTGGAAAAACATTGCCTGGTCTAAAGAGTCTCAATTTCAACACCAACACTTTGGTAAGTAGGGTCAGCATTTGGCAGGAGCAACATGAAACCATTGATGCATGCTGGTTTGAATCAACAGTTCAAGCTAGTGGCGACGGCATAATGGTGTGGGGGCATAATACATCTATTGCTGCTGCCTTGTTCACTCTTTTACAACCACAGTTTACTCATCTTCTGATAGTGTCTTGCAGTAGGATAATGCACCGTGTCATAAAGCTCATTTCGTCTGTTTTCACATGGCATGAAGGCGAGTTCACTGTGCTCCTACAGTCACCAGATCTCAATCCAATAGAGCACGTTTTGGATGTTGGATTCGTTTCATGAAAAAAGCAGCCGACAAATCTATAATAACTGCGGAATGCTATAATGTCATTGTAGGACAAAATCTCAGAAGAATATTTCTGGAAGATTGTGGAGTATACGTCAAGTAGAATTGAGACAGTTCTGAAAATAAACAGGCTCCAACCTGCTACTGTGATGTAACTACTTAAATGGCCAGAGAGTGCATGATATTTGATATGTTTCATAAGAGTTGTGCTATTTTAGCTGTCCTGCCCTGAACATATCATTGTCAGTCACGCTCACCCACATTGTTAAATATCTTTTTTAAAACCCCTGAGTTAGAGAACCCCATGCCTCTCACCTCCCTCCCTCGCATGTCTCATAAACATCCAGCAGCTGCATAATTACATGTTGTTGTTTTTTTAAATCATAAGAAAGTTTTCTAGCAATCTTCTCTCTGTGTTTATTTGCATACAGCACACTTAATGAGCTCTGGATCCATGTGTCCACTTAAGATGTATTTAAATAGAAGGTTCAGAGCAAGACCCTTGAAATCCGATCACTCAACATCGATACTGATACTGAACAGAACCTCTATAGTACCATTGTGCCTTTTTGTAAAGTATTACTAAACACACTCATTACTCAGACTCATTAACCAAGATGCACAGAGCCCATCACGTGATATGTGTGTGTGTGTATATATATATATATATATATATATATATATATATATATATATATATATATATAAAATGTTGTCAAAAACAACATTTTCCTGTCAGCAGTTCAAAACAGAGGAAAGTAAATCCTCTAATCCCCACATCACATATTGTTGTCGCTCCTTCTGTTGTCTCCCAAGTAATTTATCATTCTCTGTGTGTGTTAATGTACTCCCTCCAAGGACCTGTCACTTCTTTCTGGATTTCAAGGAACAAATCCTTTCCTTCAAGCTTTCATCTTCAGGTTGATACAGTATGTGGCACATACGCAGCTGATGTGTGGTTGACGCACCGACAGCTTCTATGTCGGGACGTTCCAAGTCAACTGCTACATGATGTAAACACAGTGAAATAAACGTACAAACAAAGCAGGAATGCTTCTGAAAAAAAAAATCTGATAATTTATATTTAAAAGTGCAGAGTTGTTGCTCTGAACATTTTGTCAGGAACTTTGTATCAATGAGAAATAAAAGCCATTAAATCTTGTGTCCACACTATTCTTAAAAGTATATAGTCGATTCCTTGTTCTTTAATAAGTATGCCTCTTTGTAATAAGTGTGAGACTATACATGTTTACCTCTGACTCTCATGCATATTTCATATTGATGGTAAAAACAAAAAAGTCTTAGGTCAGGCAGGTTAGGAAAAAACAGAACTAGAAATGCCTTAGACATGACAACTGAGTGACAGGTGACACGAGATAAGGCATCATTCCATTTCTCCACTAATCACATTTACTTCCTCCATCACCCATCGAAATGCCTTCACCATCTATGTTAGCAACTTGCCAATCCACATCAGGAAATGATGCCCATTATGTCTGTCTCCTGTCTCTAAGACAGCAGCAGTCTGTCTTCCACCAACCATGACTGACAAAATGAAAGGGAGGAGAACCTCCATTAAAAAAAAAAGAAAAAGAATCTCAGGTGGAGCGAAACAGAACACCCAAATGAATGAATCAGAGGAATGTCTAACGGCTGTAGTAAGGAGAAAGTAGGTAAACTGAGGGATGAGACTAAAACTTAAAAGGATTCAGAAGCCAAACAAATGAAGAAAAAATCTGACAATAATCTAACACAGCGTTTCCAAAATCTGGTCCTCAAGTACGCCTGGCCTGTGTGCTCCAGGTGTCGTCTTACTTCCAAACATCTGACTTAAATGAATGGGTGATTAACAGCCTTCGGCAGCATTTGGTGGCTGCAGAGATGATCATGCAATCATTTGAACCAGATGAGCTGGAACAGAGACACATTTGGTCCTCAAGGGGTAGTTGAGGACCAGGTTTGGGAAACACTGATCTAAATAATAAAATAATCATAAATAATAAATCTGAATGTCCAAGGAGCAGAGCAGACAAATTGACTAAAAAAACTAAAGACAAAGGAAACGCAGCACCCCAGTAGCAATAATGTACACAGAGAAATGAGCAGAATATGCCAAGACCTGGAGAGTATAAATAAATCACAGGGAAATGATTACAATATAAACACCGGAGAAAACCACAACCCAAATAACCAAGGATTGTGGCATTTAGATCTTGTTATTGTCAGGCATTGGTACTAAAAATTGTTTAGACTGGAAGACATTAAAAATGAAAGAAAAAAGACTGACAGAAAGACAAGTTAAGTGTGTGTATTAGATTGTTCTCAACAGGTTAACAAATGCATATGTGTTGCCACAAGAAGGTTTCTGTGCATGCATTCACTGTGAGCATAAGAGAGGATAAGTGCGTGAAAGAGTGAGGAATATTTGGAACTGCGGCTCAGGGGATTTTGGTGTTTACTCCACAGATGGGCTCTTGGTTTCTAGGCAAAAAGACTGAAAATAATCATGTGTGTTTGAGAAATAGCATGTGGTGGGGAGGCTTTTTTTTTTTTGTAAGTAATGTAGTCATGAGGACAAATAACAGAGATATTAGAGAGCCCCCAAGGATAAGAAAGTACCAAAGACTCTACACAACTGTAGTCACAATGAAATTTGGCAAACAATAAATAGTGTGAATGAGTGTGTTTTCAAATCAAACCAGTCAATCATCCACATTATGACTCAACACCTAACAGGTACACCGTCTATTCACTGTGATGGTATTTCTGCTTGGAAGCACTCCACACCGTCTCTCCACAATGTCTTTCTGTTTCATGAATTTAACATGAGGGGCTATTACTTCTTGCCTGAAACATTTAGAAGGAGGAGTAGAGTAAAGTAGTAGGGGGTGAGGGGCATGGATGGTTGGTGTCCTGATAGGATGAGAAACATAACTAATTTATGCAGTGATTTTCAGTGTGTGCATGCGTTCAAAGATTTGCAGTTATTGCTTCGACGGACTAAAGGTAGAGAGAAACTGTCACAGAGACGAAACATGAAAATATATTGCACAGTTTTTTCATTCTGACAAATGTTTACAATAATTCATTTTTAACAGTTTCCCTAATGTTCAATTTCCTAACATCATCCTATTTCACCCTCTTTGGGTTTTTTTTCCAGCAGCCCCGCTGGCCCCCCTCCTCTTAACGTGCCTTTTCCCTCCCTCTCTTCCTCATCTCCTGCTCTTTTCCTTCTTCCACCTCTTCAGCTCCAGCTGCCGTGACCCATCTGGCTCACTGAAAACACCAGAAGTGGGTCACTGTCACGAACACATATCGTTGATGTTGCACGCACATACATTCGGCCACCAAACACACACACCCACACACGAATACCCATCGTACACCCCACCCCCAGGTCCTAATGCACTCTCAAACATGAACGTGTTCGCCAATATCGACCTAACAATCAGGCGGCCACTAAAACTTCAATCACCAACAGTGAACATACAGACATATGTGCCAACCTGGCCAGACACAGAGCAGACAGACAGATACTCCTGTATTTTTAAGCTTGATTTGTTTATTTATTTATTTATTTTTTATGATTTTGCTGCATGTTGCTGTGTAAAATGTACAAAAACATGGTTACTGTTATTCAACAGCTGAAATAAAAACATCTGTTTTGTTTTGTTTACCTTGACTAATTTAGTTAACGTGAAAAAGGATGCAGGAGTAAAGCACCATGCTTATACTGTGGATTAATTAATTTATATTGTCTATAGTGAAGTCCTACCAGCAAAAAAGCATAGTTGGAGTTCTAGGATGATGTGAGGTTGCTTTGCAACCACTTCCTGAAAGCAATTCTTTAGAAAATGATGACAACGATTGTTTGAATTGGAAAAAAAGATGTTTAAAGTGACAATGAAGAATCTTTAAGCTGTTGTAACACAGCACTGCAATATATTTGCAAAATATTTGCCATAAACAGCTTGATCTAGAGAGGAGAAACTACTTTGCTACTTTCTAGGTTGGCATTTCCAAGCACAAACACAGTTTTATGGGCCGACTCTCTCCTTTTTATCCACAACGTCCTCCTCGTCCCCCCCTGTCATTTCTGCATTGCCTTCTATTCTAACGCGCTCTGATTCAAATCGAAAGGGTTGAATATTTCTTATTGCACGAAAATTACTGTTCTGGCTGGACATAGCTAGTTTACCACCTTGTATATGTCATCTACCCAGGATGCTTTGTAGTGTAAATAACATGGTGACGTCCGTGT